AAAAGTTTTGTACACAAAACAATATTCTTCATGTCTTCATCAAAGTTATCTTCTGCAACATAGCTTAAAGTAGAAACAGCAGAAAAACACACAAAAAGGGCTTTAAAATTCTGATAGGTTTTTATTAGCCCTGTTTGGTTTCAGACCAAAAAGATACTACGATGAATACTTACTGCAGCCAAAACCAACATATAAGATTGTGGCTACAAACCACATAGTTTTGCCCTAAATAGACTTCCGGATGTCTTAGAGACATGGTGTTGACTTTAGTCTCTTTTCACGTAGAAGGGATGATTTACCAGGAGCAGGTGAAACACAAGATTACTGAACCCTCTAACTTCCTTTAGAAAAGCAGTGATTACTTTTGCTTACATTCTCACATGTCCTAAAAAAACCATCAGGGCCAACGTTGCCCTGATTTTTGCAGGTTAAATCAGTTGGGGTGGGGGACCCGGGGACCACACAACATGTGTTTCAGGAGACTTTATTTCAGACTAGCTGCTGTCAGGTACTGCTGATAGCACACCCAAGCAGTTGAAGCGACATTGTCTTCAGGTTTTGCCTCATCTGAAAGGTATCTGTTCCATGGGCTCCAGGCGTGTTTGATGATACAAAGTGTGAGGTTAAAAGGGAGATTTAAAAGCACTCTCCTGATCCAAGCAAAAATGCTAATGGAGCCACATGTGTATCAAAGTTATCTTCTGCAACATAGCTTAAAGTAGAAACAGCAGAAAAACACACAAAAAGGGCTTTAAAATTCTGATAGGTTTTTATTAGCCCTGTTTGGTTTCAGACCAAAAAGATACTACGATGAATACTTACTGCAGCCAAAACCAACATATAAGATTGTGGCTACAAACCACATAGTTTTGCCCTAAATAGACTTCCGGATGTCTTAGAGACATGGTGTTGACTTTAGTCTCTTTTCACGTAGAAGGGATGATTTACCAGGAGCAGGTGAAACACAAGATTACTGAACACTCTAACTTCCTTTACAAAAGCAGTGATTACTTTTGCTTACATTCTCACATGTCCTAAAAAAATCATCAGGGTCAACGTTGCCCTGATTTTTGCGGGTTAAATCAGTTGGGGTGGGGGACCCGGTGTCCACACAACGTGTGTTTCAAGAGGCTTTATTTCAGACTAGCTGCTGTCAGGTACTGCTGATAGCACACCCAAGCAGTTGAAGCGATTTACCAGGAGCAGGTGAAACACAAGATTACTGAACACTCTAACTTCCTTTACAAAAGCAGTGATTACTTTTGCTTACATTCTCACATGTCCTAAAAAAATCATCAGGGTCAACGTTGCCCTGATTTTTGCGGGTTAAATCAGTTGGGGTGGGGGACCCGGTGTCCACACAACGTGTGTTTCAAGAGGCTTTATTTCAGACTAGCTGCTGTCAGGTACTGCTGAGAGCATGCCCAAGCAGTTGAAGCAACATTGTCTTCAGGTTTTGCCTCATCTGAAAGGTATCTGTTCCATGGGCTCCAGGCGTGCTTGATGATACAAAGTGGGAGGTGTGGGGTTAAAAGAGAGATCAGATTTAAAAGCACTCTCCCGATCCAAACAAAAATGCTAATGGAGCCACATGCGAATTCCCAAAGCAGATGAATATATGTGAAAAGGGAAAGTTGTCAATATTATAAATTAGGGAAGACAAGTGATCTTGAAAGCTGGAACAGAACTACTGGAGGATGTAGAAAAACAAGACATTTGCGGTAATGAAAGGAAATGGTCTAAATTCATCCCAGGCAACTTCCATCCCATCCCTACCTCTGATTTCCTTCTCACTCTGATTTCCTTCTACACATAACTCAAAAGGATTGAATTATTTATTACAGGTAGCATTTTCCCTTCATTAGTCATATAGCTTTTATCAAATAGATAAAACAGATGCATGCCACTATCTGACAGGAAAATGATTTCATAGTGATACCTTATTTAGCAAATACATTTTGGAAAAAATGCAATATACCAAATTCTACCCCAAAGTCCAGTCTCTTCATTTGCACGGTAGTCTTTTTTGTACACCTCCTCAGTCGCAGAAAGATAAGCCGCGTCATGATCATGGCTCTGCTGCAGTCTATTTTCAAAGATGGCACTGATGAATTGTATTAGACTCGCTCTGTGCTAATTACAACAGATCATTCTATCTTAGAGCTTTATGAAATAAAATACTTCTGAATGTTTGTGTAGATTGTGTAGGAAAAAAAAAAAAAAGTAAATTCCACTGCACATATCTGATGAGGAGGATGTTTGGATAACTCTTTGTTTAGCATCATCCTCATTGCTGGAGCTGGTGGTTCTTGGTCTGCTTTGAAGTGTTCCTGGTGACCACATCAAACGTTCATGCAGGCTTGTGTCAATGTCTACTTTCCTCGGACAACCCATTTCTCTGATCTTCCCTGCGATTTTTTTTCTTGTGACTGCCATGTTCTGTAAATTTTGCTGTCTCATGAAATCCAGTCATTTCACATGATATTTCTTCAGCTTTCCTATAGTATGTTTTTTCTGAATTCTGATTCACATCAGTCACTGAATAGATGAATTCAGTGAATTCAATCACTGAATGACTGAATAGTTCTAATTTTACCTATTCATTTTGGTAATGTTTTAACATCTTTTATATCAGAAGCCTTTTTACCAGAAACCTTCTCACCAGAAGTATTTTTTCACTATATAATGAATTTTCACTATATAATGAATAATTTTTTCACTACTATAATGAAAAAAAATACTGCATACAGCAGAACCTCTATGTGTACGTCTCAGAAACAATTCTTCAAAAATGATTTTTATTCTTTTTAAATCAGTGCTTCTAGAAAAAATGAAGTAGAATAGATTAGGGAACACCTAATTTGCCTTTGTGATAATCAGATTTAACTCAGCGATGTTTGTTGGTGGTGAACAATAACAATACAGAAACTGGAAATCTTGCATTGAAATTATTTTACCTAATGCAGTGAGTTTATAAGAAACATTTCCAAAAATGAAATACGGTTATAATTGGTGACCAAAGAGAGACTAGCTGACTGCATAAATGCTGCTGTCTTTGCCGAGCCAGGAACAAATTAATTCTCTGTGATCCTCCCTACAGCATAATGTCTGGAGCTGTTACAACGTGCCTCCAGCCACAGCTACACACCTTGCACTGATAGAGGACAATATATGCAGCCTTAGCAGGGTGTAATCTCTCATCTTTGCTTATCGGTGGCTACCGCATGTTGGGCAGGATGGTTGAACACATTTCCGTTTGTTAAATGCAATAGTACCAGAAAGTGGAATGAAAGAAGAACCAGAAGTCTAATGAAAAATCAGGCTGGAAGGAGCAGGACACATCTGGACTACTCTCCACAGGTTTTGCAGAATACTTGTAATTTGATCAGCAAATGTGTTTATGGTATATTTTTAACAATAGCCAAAATATCTACCTTGATAATTCTAAAAGGTCCACGATTGCTGCCTACTTTGGGAGGAACCTATGAAAGAGCTTTTCTCTACCTTACTATCTATTTTAGTAGTTAGTCAACAAGTAAGTGACAAAGCAGCCTTAAAAATGCCCATCTCTGATTCTGTGTTCAACATGTAGTTCTTCAAATGTAGTGTGGTGAACACTTTGAAGAACTCTGGCTCCAGCTGTGGCGTGTGAGTGAGAGAGAACTCAGAAAGAGCAGAACATACTGTTCCCAGAACAGCCACAAGCTAAGGAACCTCTAAAACATGCCAGGGTGACTTCATAGCTGTTAAGTTTTAAGGTAAAATGGTTTCAGCTGGGACAAAGTTAACTTTAATGCTAGCAGCTGCTGTAGTGGATTTGGGATGAGAAATAGTGTTATAGTGCACTGGTGGGTTTGGTTGTTAAGTCCTTTTTTGCTCCTCACCCCATCCCACCAGCGAGGAGGCTGGGGGTGCACAAGAAATACCCGTGGGAATCAGGGAATGAATTCCTTGGTTTGCTTTGCTTGTGTGTGCAGCTTTTGCCTTACTTGTTATACAGTTTTTAATCTCAACCCATGAGTTTTTCGTCACTTTCACTCTTCTGACTCTCTCCTCCATTGCAGCTGTGGGGAGTGAGTGAGGGGCTCCGTGGTTAAACCAACCTGTATGTTCAAGCTTCAGAGCCAAAATATCCTGGTGACACGTGGGCAGCCTGGGAAACCTAGACCAAGCTGTCAAAGTAGCCTATGGAAGAAGGAGATAGGACAGCTGATGTCCCTGAGATGCTCCTGCCAATATCACCTCCATAGTCCTGAGGGGATCTTTCTCTTCCAGTAACACGGTGTCTTCATCTAGGGAGGTATGCAGCCGCCTGTACTACGGGAAAAAAAAAAAAAAAAAAAAAAAAAAAAAAAAAAAAAAAGAACCCCCCCCAAAAAACACAACAAAAAACCACACAAGGCAAGGTAAAAGAGAAACAGAAGTCCAAGTGGCTTTTATCCACTACTGTGGCTAAAGAAATAGTAAAAAAAAAAAAAAAAAAAAAAGAGAAAAAAAAAAAGAAGCTACCCCCAAAACCAGGTCAGTAACCCCAAATCTCGCAATCCTTACCGGCAGGATTTCCTGCCGGCTCCCCCGGAGCCTGCCCTGGGGCGGAGGCCGAGCCCTGCACCAAAGGCCGGGGATCGGGGTGGGTGGGGGGGATGGACGGCGGCTCAGGCGGTCTTTGAAGTGAGGCGGCCGCCTCCCCTGCCTCTTCCAACAAAAAGCGGCTCTTACTCAAACTCCTTATTTTTCACCGCCTGCGTTTAATCAGCACCTCCTGCCTGCGCCGGGACACCTCCGCCCCGCCGGGAGCTGAGGGGAGGGCGGCCCGGCCGGCCCAGCCCTGACGCCGGGGCCACCTCAGCGCCGTGTTTGAGGGCGGGAGCCGGTTGAGGTGCAGCCCGGGCTTTCTAGGAGACAGCAGCCGGGGCTTCCCCCCCAGCCTCGGTCGGTTGAGGTGCAGCCCGGGCTTTCTAGGAGACGGCAGCCGGGGCTTCCCCGGCTCGGTCGGTCCCTGGCAGCAGGTAGGCAGCAGCAGCAGCGGGGATTCCGCTGGGCGCCGGCCCCTCCTGAGGGAACCTGCCCGCCCTCGGCGCTGAGGGAGGCGGCGGCAGGGCTCCGCCCGCAGCGGGGGCTGCCGGTGAGGGTGGGGGTGGCCTCTGCGGCAATGCCGGCTAGATTTCTGAGAGAAAGGGTGAGGACGCCTTTTCTGGGAAGGTACACGGTGGCCCCCTGGGTCTGGTGAGTCGCCGGGGAGCAGCGGGCGACCGGAGCACGGCACGGATCGGTTCAGCTCGCCCTGCGGGAGCTCCCCTCAGCCCGGCCGGGCTGGCAGCGCTGAGGAGCCACAGCCCCTCTCAGGTGTGTGTTTCCTGGAGGAGCACGTAGGAATTTAAATGAAGAAAAAATTGATATCCTGCCACGCCAGGTGAAGGGATGTCGGCCGTTCACAGGAAAAAAACGGCTATAGAGATAGTGGGAGCGCTGTGACCGCGTCCCGGTGGTGGTGGGTTAACCCGGCCCTTCAGCAGCAGCTGGGTGTGCCTCCACGGGAAAGGAATACACGTATTGGTTGTAATAATTATTCCTAGACCAGAAGTGGGACACTTGATTAAGCTCTCGTGAAGAGGCATGGCGTACCTCGCAGTTAACAGAAGCGTTTAAGGTAATGTTTATATATTTTTATTTAAAGTGTTCATCAGCTTATGTAAAATAAATGGTGTGATGTTCCGGCTTCTTGTTAGTTCTCTCAGTTCGGAGAGCAGGAGCGTTGCATGTTGTAATCTGTCCACGTTTTTGAATAAGTCATTCAAAGAAAACGTGCCATGAGTCTGCAAAAATTGCTGAAAGACATGACTCTTCAAAGTTCTGATGAGACTAGGTTTTTCAGTTGAGGAGATCAACTTTGAAAGGGCTAAGGAGTAGAGGAAAAGGTGGCTGTACCGATTTAATCACAGGTTTTGGTGAGAATTATGCTTCGCTATGTGCTGTTGTGGGTGCTTTTAATATAGTTCGGGTGTGTGTATCAGTGAAGACCTCTTTCAGATGCTTGTCATCTTCTTTTTTTCTTATTTTATTTTAAATTGATGCAGATATTTTCTTGCAGGGTGAAACTTTACAGATATGGTCTCAGATACGTGGATTTTTTTTCCTTCTGGAAAATTGGGGCAAAAATAGCTCCAGTTGAATTCTGTCCTAAGTGGTAAAGCTCCACAGGTCAATTGCAGGCTCAAGATGTGGCCGAAATGGCTGGGAAAAGGAAGAAATTTAGCTGTTTATCATGGTGGAATGTGGTAAGAAAAACATTTGCACTTGACTGCAGTCATGTTTGTTGTTTTCATCATGAATTATGTGAATGCATGCACAGAGCAGAGCCTGATTTTGCTGTTGGGTATACCTTCCACAGAAATGGAAGTGTTTTCAATGTGAAAAGCCAGAGACAAGAAGGACTCTTTTCAGAGCAGTTCACGGCTCTGGTTTTACTATACATAGGGATATATATTAATATATATAGCCCTATATATTTTATATATACTATATATAATATAGTATATATTATATATTAATATATATAGCCCTATATATTTGTATAGGGCTATATATATTAATATTTGCAGGTTTTCCGCGTTGGTGAAAGGGCAAGTTACACATTTAAATAGATTGAATTTATAGAGAAGCAGGATTCTGGAAGACTTTCCTTCAGAATGTGGCAAAATACTACTGCTGCATCTACTGAATCTACTGCTGGGGCAAAAAGCTGCTTGAAATAGAGCACATGTGAGACAGAACAGTAGAGTAAGGTAATACGGTAGTGAAACAGAGCTTATAAAATAAAAACAGCGATTTAGAAAAATCATAAAGAAAATACCTAGTCGTAATTGGAGTCTATTCAATCCCGTTTTCTCTTTAAATTATTTCCATTATAAGATTTTCATCCTCTTTAAAATTGAAAACTGGAGATTTTAGGAGCTAACATCCATCACAATAGTGAAGGTAGTTGGAGTTTTTTGTACAAACACACATAAACCCCTTCCAGTGATTTTAAACTTTTGTGTACTTCTTTTCATGCTTGGCATTCTTGTGGGGACTCGTTCCTTCTTACAGCTAGGCAAGAGAAGACCTGCCTGGTAATTTGGGCGGAAATTTGCAATGAGGGAGGAGGGAAGAGAAGGGGAAGAAGGAAGGAAGCAGGCACTGCAAGAAGCGGTGTGGGTGACTCAATAGATGGCGTGCTTCTGAGTCAGTTTGATGACGTAAAACACAGCAGCCGGAAGTGTCATCTTTGACTGTTGCAGAAATCGATGATCAACTAAAGATTCTTCACAACAGGCTGAGGTTCTCCTGCTCATCATTCAGTTTGACTAATTGCATTTGCCCTTTCACAGGGCTGTAAGAACTGTGACAGGCTGAGAGGAAAAAAAAGGCTTAAGGCAGGCCAAGTTAAGGCACAACATGTCAGAGGCATGCAACTAATAGATCCCTCTCCAAACACATTGGGGACAAGAAGCTTACTAAAAGAGTCCTGACAGCCAATAGATCATTTAGGTATTATAAAAACCCTAGGGGATAGACTATTGGAAGATACGAACATAGCAGGGGGAAAAGAAAATACATGTTTGCATTTGTGTTCATCTTGGAAGAGCATGGATTTCAGTGCCAGTACCTTTTTGTATAGCTAATCTTTCATGGAACAATCTGTCTCAAATTGAAAAGTCAGTAAAAGTCAGTTGTAGAACAAAATTATTGATAACAAAGCACCACAACTGGCTAATACTTTTGTGTTTTCTTGTTGTGAATGTCTCATTTAAAGCGGCTTTCAGACCAAAAGATCAGAAAGTGGTAAATGTTAAGAAAATTTTAAATGAAAACATGGGCGAAATCCTAAAATCACATGCTCAGTGGCTCACTGGGTTTGCCTGATCTTTAACACTCAGTGATAAGATCTTGATACTTTATTACATAGACCTATGGAAATGCCAGGTCAATGCTCAGTAGTACGCAAAGAACAGATAGATTGTTAGAAATTATTATGAAATTATTATGAAAAAATCCAGCAAAAAGTAATTGTTCTAGTTTATAAGCCTGTAGTATATGTATGTTTTAAAGACTGTGCACATGTTCTGTTCTCCTTTCTCCATCGTCAGTCTGTAATGTAACTGGGGGAGGTGCAGAAGAGGGTGGAAAAGGTGTCAGAAGTATGAAATCAGATCCCATCTAAGGGACAGGTAGAGAGATTAAGACTGTAGCTTGGGAAAGCAAGAACTGGTGAGAAGTGTGATAAAGATGTAAAAAAAAAAAAAACCACAAAGGAATGCTTGACAAACTGAATAAGAAATATTCACTCCTTTTTTTCTTCTGGTATAATAATTAGCAGCTGTCAGGTATAGCAAGCAGGCAACAGGCTCAAAAAAAGTCAAAGACAATTCCTGTATTTCCTGTGTCCTGTATTAACTGTAATGAAAATATTGACTGTCAATTGTGGAAATTTATATTGCAAACTGCTAATTGATGGTTTTCTTTCCTTTTCTAAAGGGAAACATGGCAGCAAAAACATTGTTTTCATGTAATATCACAACAGTGTTTCTGTATTTAATTATTGCAGGTAAGTTTTTTGGTGGCTATGGAGGGTCTTGTGAAACATTTTTTCACACAATACTAATTTTCTGTGAAAAGCCAAATTTAAGTGCGTGACTGAGTTTTTTCTAAACTCCATCTCTGGATGCTCTCTGGAAGCATTAGGTCTGTCATCAGTGGTGGTCAGAAAAGCAGAATTCTGGTGGAGTAGAGCAGGAAACAGAAAGCTTCATTATGCTACAGTATAACACCATGGTGAATGTGAATCAATTGAGCTTTGCGGTCCTGGTCATTCCGTTTCAGAAAGACTATATCAGAAAAGGTAGAGAGGTGAGGGACAGTGTTGTCCGATGTGGGATGGTTTCCATATGAGACGTCATTAAATGAATGAGGACTCAGAGGTGAAGAAAAGAGACGACTAAGGGAAGATGTGATGGAGGTCGATAAAACTGTAAATACTGTAGACTAGACAGATGAGGGAAAGCTTACTTTGCCATTTCTCATAACAAGAAATTACGCATAGAAATTATAAAAGGCAGTGAATGTTTTTTCATGCACCACATAAGAGGAAAGAAAGGGGATGAAAGCAAAGTATTACTGTACTTGTATCCTACTCTCTTTTCTTATGCCTTTGCCACTGGTTGTTATCAGAGATGGGGTTTTGGGCTTGACAGATGATTACATGACTCTGTGTGGCTGTTCTTATATTCTAACAAAACAAGGAATTTTAGATAAATATAATACTGATTTGGGAATGTGACCATGGTATCCAGAGCCGGTACCTCTTTTGTCATATTGACAGAATAAAATAAATCTCATGGTTCTTTTCCTGTATGAATCTCCTTGGGTTAGGGGGAAAGAAAATGAGCTCGATGGTGAGTGCTTGTAATAATTCCTCTATAAATTCTTATAAAATGAAGGGTAAGTTGAAGTTTCTGTAGCAAGTTTAATATTTGTGCAACAGCAACTTTAACTTCAGTGTCCTCTTAGGATATCTGGGTACTGAGACCATAGTCTCTGTTAAAGACTTACTTTGACTACAGTTAAACAATGTTAACAAATAAAAACATTAAATTTGAAATTTCTGTGTGCATGTGTGTGTTTGTGTGTATGTGCATGAAACAGATTTGAGAAATACAAGTGCTGTAGTAATTTGCATCTGAACTAAAACATACAAATGACAGTCTGCTGCAAAAGAAGAGATTCTACTGAGTCTGAAGTTTGCATTAACAAAACCAGCATTTCAGTGGCATAACTATATCTGTATATCATTGAATAGGACTCTCAACTGTAAAGATAAGGGATTAAAATTGTATTTTTAGTAGATGACTTGACAACAAAGGTGAAAACTCCAATGAACTTTGTAAATGGAATCAAGAAATATGTTCAGTATATCCTTTCACAGTATTTGAGGTTTTCTTCAATGTCTATCTCTTTCCTTTAGAGAAATGTGAAGCCTATGATGTGATGTTGAGGCAAAGTCTTGTGCCTCATGGGCAGCCTCTTGCTATTAAATGTTCACTGGAAAAGAGCTTGGAAAGTGGAGACTACAACTTAACATGGTATAAAGTTGGTAACCAGACAGCTGTGCCTAGAGACAAACTTTCTAGAATTCATCAGCAGAAGAATTTAATTTGGTTTCTCCCTGCAATGTTAGAAGATTCTGGAGACTATGAATGTGTCATAAGGTGAAAGTTAAAAAAAATTTTATTGTTACAGAAATTACTTGTAAAGGCAATAGCTTTTGGAAAGCAAGTAGAATTTGGAGGATAAGAGAAGTATTAATGAAGAAGGTAGAGTACATTCACAAAAACTAAATTTAGGTTGGGGGAAGTAAGTCTAGTTTTGGTGTTTTTTTCCTAGTAAGCAAAAGGAAATCTATTAGAGAAACTGTAAACTTCTCATCCTCTCTTTCTTCTCCAAAAGGAATACCGTATGTTTTTGAGTTGGAAAATATGCCAAATAATCTAATTATGTTATATTAATTGCAGAAATTTGACAAACTGCAGGAAAATGCGTACAACAGTAACAGTTTTTGAGAGGACTGATGGTTTATGCTTAAATGAAAAATTTGCTGTAGAGGAGGTGGTATTCACGTTATCATCTGCAAAGGTTGTGTGCCCACACTTGGATTTTTTCAGGAATAAGAAGAATATTCAGCCTGTTCGTTGGTATAAGGTGAGAATGCTGTGTTTTGTACTGTCTTGCAACTGTCCATAATTTAAAATATAGATCACTGATGTTTGTGAATTTTAAGAGAAAAACTAAAGATTTATTGTGAATGGGAGAAAAATTATTTTAAAACAAATTAGAGGATTAAGGTAGAGGATTAAGACTTTTTATCTTTGAAAGGTATACACAGGTTTTTTGATTAACAGGGTAGACATGCAGCTTAGATGTAGGAGACATTGATCCACGAATCCACCAGGTGGCATCTTTTTACCCCGCTGGCGAAATACACTGTAGTGAATTTTTTTTTCTGCAGAAACAGGTGTAGTATGACACTTGTGAGAGGTGGCATATCCATTATGTGCCTAATACTGTTCCATTAAATAAATTCAATTTCTTATTGTTTATACTTATTTAAAAGCTCTTTCTTTTACAAGAATGTAGTGCCTTCTGCAGCATGCCTCCCTGATACCCACGTCGTCCATATGGTACCAAGAGGATTTAAATACCTTAAAAAATTAAGTGTAATTATTAAGCTTCCTCATTAATGAATACTTTCACAAGTCCTGATACTTGCATTTCACTTTCTTATTTCTGTAAAATGGAAAGTTGTTTTCTGTGGGAAGTGAACTTTGAATTAAAAACTCAGGGCCAAAATCAAGAATGTTTTGCTTTTCATTCTACAACCCTCACTCTTCCTCAGCCTCTGTGAGGCACTCATCCTTATGCTGTGGTCTACTGAAAATTCAGATTGCATTAAAGAGAGACAAATCCTGCAAAGAGATAGTGGTATGAATTAACAGAGTTCTCTATGTGTGTTTAGGACTGCCAGCTGCTGGAAGGGGAAAGGTTTGCCTTCTCAAATGGTGATCTTATCATTCTCGATGTGAATGTACATGATCAAGGAAACTATACCTGTGAGACAACATTTACCTACAATGGGAAACAATATAACATTTCACGAGACGTCAGTCTGACTGTAGAAGGTAAGTAGGTAATTTCACTGTGTTTGTGTTCATAACAGTGACTCAGAATTTTTGTCCAAGTTTCTAAAGACTAAAGCTAAAAGACCCAATTTGTGGATAGGCATCTTAGGGCTACGAGTTTTCACCTAAATATGAGGGAAAACAGTTCTGACTGAGAGCTTACATATTTTTTATCTGCTGTTGCTACTGTGTCGAAGATTGATTTCCCCTGGTCAAAATTGCAGTATGCCAAAGCTTTACTACGCAGACCAGCTGCCAAGGTCCCTAAACAGTGCCCTGCAATGCTTGGTAGGTACAGTACTTTCTGCTGTAGCTGCACCCTCTTTATCTTCCCATCTTACTTCTCTCTCCTTCACATTATCCTCTTGCTGCAAGAATAAGGAACTAAACCAGCCCAAATTGTTGCAGTGTCTTGACTCTTTGTGTCCTATCTGTTTCCTTCAAACCTTTGTCTCTTCTTTTTTTTGTTGTTTTAAGCTCCCCAGCACAAGAACTGTTGATCTCTGATATCATGTGTCTAGCTCAGTAGACCCTGATTTATGTCAGGGTGCCACCAACAAAACAAAAAAAAATATAAAAGAAGGCTTAGCTGTAAAAGGCAAACTCCTTTGCTAGCACAGTATTATGAGGTTGATATTGGATGAGTGAAAAGGCTGTGCTATGTCAAGGTATGAAATGCCAATAGTGTATTTACAATCCAGCTGATGAAAGACATTTTCAGGTTTACTAATAGATTGCATTACTACTTAATGGTCTTTTTTTGTGTTTGCCTGTTTCTTCGGTGTGTATGCATAGTGTCTATGTATGATATGAATATCATGTTCATACAGTGTCATGTGTATATGATGTGGCTAAACAAAATATGAGGAACATATGGTCAGATCAGATTAAATGATCATTCTGGTCTTAAAATCTGACCCTAGAACTTCTCTCTGTGTAATTTCAGCTCCCATTATTCAGTAGAAGCAAAATAATATCACTCTCTTGACATAAATGACTGAAGGCAGCTTGGTTGTTTTTAAAGTCACCAGCTGAGCAAGTCTATGCTAAAATGGGTGATTTGGGGTCCAAACAATAGTGCAGGCACAGTTTTCAGAAGGGGCAGGATATATCTGGGGCAATCCTTTGTGCTTCACTAGGGGCCTCAAAAGGGATGCTTTACGATTTCTTTTTGTTAATTTGTGCTCATGGAGAAACTTTCTTGAGCTTTGAATATCTGATCGGAAATCTTCTAAATCGTCCTGCAGCTGCTTGAGACAGCTGGAAATGGTATGTGTGCTCAGTCTATCCAAGTTCACCTTCTGCAAGTTAGGATTCATTTAGCCATGCTGAGGCATCTTTGATGTAGATGTCTAGCTCTCCACCTGTTGATTTACTCTCCCTTTGTAGCCTGTAGAGAAAAACAAGATTTCCAGGGCATCATATATCTAGTCCTAATGTAAACATCTAAAAGGGGCCACTGGTGGCGTGCTTTTAGAAAGTGTTGTGGGCAGAAGTGTAAGGCCTTTCACCAGAGTACAGAAATTAAATTTCCCCTTTATAATAGTAAAAGTCAGGAATAGATGCATTGTGCTCTAAAAGTATTTGGACCCAGTTTATATCTGTGGGGTGCTGGGTGACAGGCTGTCCAGATCGTAGAGGGGTACTACTATAGATATTTGCCTATACCCTTCTCTACACCTGTGCGTGCAATATTAGAGGATTTTTGTGCTGTGAAACAGCCAGTTCACCATGAGTGTGTGGAGATTTGTGGTGCTGCATTTTGGAAGAGGTAGCACGAAGAGTAGTTTATCTTCAAGTCAGAAGTAATAAGTACCTGAGATAGGAGACTTTCAGTACTGAGTGATGTCTGTTATAAAATTGCTGACAACCTTGTCTATCAGAGGGGTTTTTAGGTTGTACTTGGGTTACAGAGCTGCAACTCCCCCACATTTTCTGAAAAGCCATTTCTTTCTTTTCATTAGTGAGCCCACCAAAAAAGCCCCCCGAAATATCTTACCCAAGAAACAACTCCATCGAAGTGGAACTTGGTAAGTAGTTTTCTCTAGAAGAAAATGAGATTTTGTATCCTAGTGAAAATTTGTACTCAAGGAGTGCCATACTCTGTGTTTTCTTGGCTTTGTTTCTTGACAAAAACTAGTTCAGCAACTGGCTCAGTTTTTTCTGTGCTGATCTCCTGAAGGAGAAGTGTTTGGGGATGAGAGGGAAGGAGACAGGGCATGTTGCTTACAAAGTCCTCGGGAAGTTTCTCAGACACGAAGAAACTCGGGGGGAGGCCAAGTGATTCTCTGTAACATCTGCTGCTTTCCATCAAAGCAACAAGGGGAAATGGCCTCAAGTTGCGCCAAGGGAGGTTTAGATTGGCTATTAGGAAAAATTTCTTCACAGAAAGATCCAGCATTGGAATAGGTTACCCAGGGAAGTGGTTGAGGCACCATCCCTGGAGGTGTTCAAAAGATGGGTTGACATGGTGCTCAAGAGTATGGTTTGGTGATATTTTTTTTTATTGCTTATTTCTTATTCATTTTTTTGTCAGAGTTAAGTTGATGGTTGGACCAGATGATCTTTAAGGTCCCTTCCAACCTAGACAATTCTATGATTCTGTGATCACTCTGGAAGAGATTCTAAGAACAGATCCATCTTTGAATCTATGGAGAAAGTGATGCCTGGAGAGAGGCGTCTTCGTCCTAGATTTAGACTCTTCCATCCTACCAATCTCCTTCTGAACATGCAGATCACGGAGTATATAGATCCAGTATACAGTAACTTTTCTGTAAGGGCGTGGGACTATGCGTAGCTGGTCTGCTCGTGAGTCTGTGAACACAATTGTATAGACTTCAATTAAAGAACAGAAATTAACTTTTCACTATTTAACACAATTTCATAGGCTCACAGGTTACAGTGGATTGCAATACAACAGGTGCTGATGGGTATGAGGTGTTTTGGACAGGCAACGGCATGTATATTGAAGTATTTTATATGAGCAGAATTTTTGCAACTTATTATGAGTAAGTATATTTTCAGATTAGAAAATATCAAGTTGGCAGCCAAAGTGGAACTTTCTCCCTTTCACATTAAAATATTTAGCAATATTTTCCACTTGCTTAAATAGCTTTCTTTTAAAAAATTCTAACACTTGTCTCCTCCAATTCACTTTCTGCTTTGAAGTAGAAACTTGAAACGTAGTAGGCATAGGAACTTCACTTGTTGGTCATTGTGAAAATCTGTCTTATTTCCCAATCTTGGGAAAAGGTGTTTTGTGGACTTACTGTCTCATAATATGGTTTCTATTGAGCAGGCCCTGGCCTGGCAGAAACCTCTTTCAGTTGGTTTAAGCATGTCCAGGCCCATGATCTTCAGACTGTCTATTTCTTCTGTGTCCTCCTTTCCTTTCACATCTGCCTCTGAAAGGTTGCAAGAGGTGAAACCTGTGGTTTACAGACTTTAATACTTATGGATTTCAGAGCCTTGAGTTAGAGAAGTGTTACTGGGATCAGCTGAAGAGCTAATGGGAGGCATCGTTGAGGGCATTTGTGTGGAAGCTTAGTGCAGTGAGCAAGATTTCCAGGGATAATTTGGGGTTTGGGAGGAAAACAGACTTGGACTGAGTAAAGCATGAGAAGGCTAATAAGATGACGGTGAAAAGCAGGTTAAATGGAGTTAGGAGAGAAGAAATTAGACCTGACTTGAAAAGGCAACTAAAATTGGAGGAAAAGGTAATCTGAAACTTTCTTAGATATGATAGGTTGGGAACTAAAAATTGCAGGTTTTTTTGTCAGCTCTGGTCTCATAGTGGTGCTATGAAGAAAAAATGTGATCATTTTTGTAAGTTCTCAAGCACTATCAATGAGCGAGAAACTGATGAAAAATGAAAATGATATCTTCAAAGTTAGAATATAGTTGTGAGAATTAAGTCCTCGTTGTAAAACAAAGGGGAAAGTAAAATGCTGAATTCTTGGAGCGTTCACCAAGAGAAAACTCTATACAAAAGTTAATATACGATACTATCATAAAGAATTATAATGACATAAACAATTGGGCCATAATGCAGAGGCACATGGTCACTGAGTTGAAATAAAAGCTATGCTATTTTTTTTGTACTTCTAGCACTTAATAGTTTGTCTTTGCAACCATTAGTCATTTGCATTAGTGATGTTGATTCATTCATTCCTTGTCACAGTGTTCACATTACTGTAACTTCTTGCTTAGAAAGTGATTCTTCTGTTCCTATATAGGCTATTTATGATATATTTCAAGCTTTGATTTTGCATTTCAAATGGTAACTAGAATATGTTTTCAGGAAAGAATAGCGCTTGGCTAAGTAAGCTCGTTCATTTTGGATTTGAGATCTATTGTTAGCAAGGTAGTGGTATCACTGGTTTTGCTGGTGGTTAGGAAGTTGTTTAGTTCATACACCAGTTGCATCATGGTACACGTGATGAACTGCACGTGCAGCATAATGAGCATTTCTGTGCCCACGTACGATGTCTGGGGGATAACCTGAGTCTCTTAATGGTACAGCCTGACACTTCAGCTGTTACAAGTCTGTTCTGATCCATGGGGTGAAACAGCAGTTTAGACTCCACTCCCCGCAGCAGGAATCACGCTGTGAGTTGGTGTTGTCTTCTGTGGGTCACCACTTCTCGTGTCTTTCTTCCCTGTCCCAGAGCTGCTCACCACAAGGTCATGCCCTTGTACCAGGGCCTCTTTCTGGGTCGTATCACACTGGAATTTCTCTCTCTCCACCTACTTTTACAGGGCCTGGGAAGCCCATAACAAGGGTTTGCTTACGTTTGTAAGGTATATTTTTATACTTCAGCCTATAGAAGTCTTATATTCCTTTGGAGAAACACAGCTGTAGATAAGATAACGTCTTGATGTTTTCCAAAGTCTATGCTAAACGTCAGTAAGAGGCCTGAATGTTGTTTGGGTTTCCTTCATACAATGTAATTGCTCATCTGTTCTGAAGCATGGTTGACACTTGCAGATGGAAACAACCATTGTTGTGCTGCAGCTGTCGTGATGAAGCCATTCCAGAAAGGGCTGTGGTTTTATATCTCTATTTGTTGCCCTTTGGACAGGGAGAAAACTTCTCATGATGGGCGCCCTATGCATTCTTTGAAGCTAATAATTTCAGAAGTGAATAGTGAAGATTATGAACAACCATTTGTCTGTCAAGCTTCAAATGCCTTTGGGCAGGTTGCATCCTATATTATATTAAAACAGAGAGGTAAGAACTGCTGTTACTTTTGAGGCTTGTGTTTATTTTTGCTTCCTCAGAAGGGGTTTTGATACCAAGTGCTCATATATCATGTTGCTAGAAGACCAGTGGATTACAATTTACTGTATGTATGAATGTACTTTTGCATAGGGGAGGAGTCACTGTAGCACTGTATCATTATTAAAATAATAGGTAAATGGAAGTGAAAAATACGATACTTGAATTTGTATTGCATTTGTATAAACAACCAGATTTGGACAAATTCAGCATTAAAAAAAATAAAAATCTATGTTTTTGTGCAGTTCCTGATATACGAAGATGGCTGACTGGAGGAATTGTCTCTTTGTTAATTCTAACATTTATTACTTTAATAATCTACAAGATTTTCAAGATTGACTTGGTGCTTTGGTACCGTAATTCTGTCTGTGCCTTTGGAAGTAAGGAAGGTATGTAAGTATGACCAGGTATGTTAGTGTACCTGGCCTTTTGATTTTTTTCACTGGCCATTACTTCTAACCAATAACGTGATTATTTAGTAGAATGTATGTGGAGTTTCCTTGAGGAATTTTCAGATCAGCATAAAGACATTTTTTGGTGAGATTTTTTTTTTTTTCAGTCATATGGGTAAAATATGTAATCATAGCTGAGGCAATAAACACTGCATACTATTGAAGGCAGTCATGGTGAGATAGGTTAGAAAGAACTACAGGTTTCCCCAAAATCGGCATGTTACCTTTTGCTTTTCTGTTAAGTAGTTTCTTTATATGTGAATTTTTGGTCACTCTGATGATGAACAATAGGTGTCAGCAGAGCTACGTTCTGTAAACTAGCTGTTTAAAGATGTGCATGAAACATTTATATTGAAAATCAGACTCTCATTTTCTCAGAGATTAATTTTGTTGGAATTTGGGTTGCTTTGTTGGGTTTTGGTGTTTTGGTTTTAGCTTTTTTTTTTTTTTTTTTTTTTTTTTTTGCAACTTCTCCTTTTACCCAACAATTTCCTTGTAAATTTCCTTCTAACGTTATGGTTACATGCCAAAGAGAAAAAACAGTACTAATTCTGTATTCTGTGATTCTTCTTATATGTTTTTATTGCTGTGATGTAGACAAATACATTAGACAGGTGGGAAAAAATTGCAATAAGTGCAACATTATAGATGTTTTGTTTGGCAGCCCCCAGAATTAGACTGTCTGAAGTTCCCCATAGCTTGAAATGAAATAGGTTACGTGCATGGAGAGAGTTAACATTTACTCACGGGTGTTCTAAGTGTTTTCACAGAAAAGTAATTTCAACTTCCGATTAACGGTTCTGTTTTCCCAGAATGCTTTAATAGAGTTCTAATGAAAAAAAATAAAAATCAATGAAACTATGTTTTGTAGCTTGTTGAGCTGTTGAGTTAAATCTGACTTTGGTTTGGTTTCTTCATTCCTGTTTATAATGAAATTTTAACTCTCAAAACCCCAGCTGCCTTCTGGCCTTTTGTTCTACTTGCCTTTCCCTCACAGAATCATTACAAGAAGGAGTTGCCATTTTCCTCCCTCTCTCATGGTTAGTCAGAAGTGGGGATAAGTGCTCTTGGGTGCATTTCAGGAGAGGTGGTGAAGTAAGTCCTGCAAGAGGACACTGTCTTAATGTCCTGACATCTCTGGGGTTGGGGGCTCCTTCTTGCAAGTCCCAGGTCCTGCACCCAGCTCACTTGCTGGCACATCCATCCCAATGATGGAAAAAGGGGTTTTGGTTTGTAGAGCATTTTAGTACTTTGATGTTATTTTGTCAGGCACGTAAATCAGCCCCCCATTACTATTTTTAAACAGCCCAAAATGAAACCTTGCAATAAAGTCATGCTCCTAGTTTTCAGTTTTTAATATAAACATTTGTGTTTGTTTTAGATGGGAAAGTCTATGATGCTTATGTCCTGTACACAAAGAGCAGTGGAAGCAGAAGCTTCTGTCATCTGGAAACCTTTGTTCGTAGGATGCTCCCTGACGTTTTAGAACAACAATGTGGATACAATCTCTTTATATTAGGAAGGGATGATTTACCAGGAGAAGGTATGCTTTAATTAGTAGAGTTAATAGATTGTCTTTTGACACATTGTTCTCGGGTTAGAAGATTATATGTACATTTAAAAATACTTATGTTTGGAAAACAAAGTTATATGTGTTTATTTTTAATGGATAATTTGTCCAATGAACTTTATTTTAAATTTTGTTGGTTTCTTACAAAAAATTCTGTTTTGATGTTATAAGTGTCTGTACTTTCCTTTTTGCAATGAACAAATGAGCATTCAGCAGCATTAATAATATTGTTGAGGCTCCTTGAATGGTATCAGCTCCTGGGGACTAAAGAAAACAATTTTTATCAGAGATTTAATGCAACGGATCATGAATCATGAGTAAGAGTTGGGGGATCTTAAACCTACCAGTTCTCTGAGCTAGCCACTGCTCTGTATATATGCAATTTTAAAATTAAGAAATATTTAACATCAATTGTAAAGTTTCAATGCAAACTTTGATTGTTCCTTCATTGCTTACAGCTGTAGTCAGTGTTGCTGATGAAACCCTTAAGCAAAGCAGAAGACTGATGATTATTTTGGGATCAGAAACGTCTAGTTGCTACCTGTTAGAAGACACCTCCGAACAACAACTAGCTATGTATAGTGCTCTCATCCGTGATGGGATTAAAGTGATTCTTATAGAAATGGGTGAAATACAGGACTACGCAAGCATGCCGGAATCAATCAGATACATTAAGCAAAAACATGGAGCTATTCGCTGGAAAGGGGACTTCTCAGAGAAATCTTGTTCACCAAATACAAGATTCTGGAAAAATGTGCGCTATCAAATGCCATCCAGGAAGAAGGGATCTTATTCTGGAGTGTATTTATTGCCTCTGACTTTGAACAATTCTGCAGCAAAGGGAAATTAAGAAGCACTTATAAAAATAGTACTGAGAAAGTAATTCTGAAATATTCTAATTTTTAAAATTATTTTTTTTTACACAAGTTCTTTATATTACAAAGTAAATGTTGCCTTCAAGGAGTAAAAGCTACTTGTCTGTTCCCTTAATTACACCCTAAAAGAAAAGTTCTGTGCAACTTTATTTCTGTTCTGGGTTTTGGACACAATTTGTTGTGTTAGTCTCAGACAGATAGGAGAAGCAAATGTTGCTAATGGTGATAGACTATTAAATAGTCGTGGTCCACGTAAATGTAATATCCATTGAAGAAGCAGCTGTAAAGTAAATCTTTTAAAAATTGAAACTACAGTTGATAAATTAAAAATCTGGTTTTTTTTATCAGCCTTTTCCTAGTCATTCTGTTCCTCTTCTTGTTGCCTCTGTGGTTGTTTGACTTCCTCGTTACTGCAAGAATCTGCACTGTGCAAGCTTTGGGGTCCCCTCCTGAGTAATATGCCTTATCCTTGCTTCTTGAAGGGGCTGCGAAAATACGTGACAAAGCAGGTATATTTAAAACTCCTCACAACACTAAATGTGTTTCAGCTGAACAGTTGGTGCCAAATGTCTTCAGCAAATGAAATAGAGTCTGTGGCTTTTTAGACAATTGGTGAATAATTTTGTGATATCTGGTCTATGGGGTGTTTCTAAACTTAAGTCTCTGGAAATGGTCAGGAAACTGAAAATAATTCTGATTTTTTGCAAACCTGGAAGCTTTCTAGCCTGTGCTGCTACTCTGGAAAGCAGGTGTTCTCATTCTGTGTCTCAACTGTGCTAACTACAAGCGCAGAAATTCAGTGAGAATCTATCAAAGGACTGTGCTTGGGCTGAGTATCCTGGAGAGAGTGGAAAATGGCCAGTTCTGAAATGTGACCAGGTGCTAATGGCAAAAAATAACCTCTTGTCTACTTGGGAAAGGAAAAAATTAGAGGTGTGTGGCTGTATCAACCTGCTTGGGAGTAGCTTGGTATTTCTGGACCCCAATCTGTTGATCTGTGTGTATCACCATGAGAAAACCTCCTTTTCAAGGTGATCTGAATTAGCAAATTTTCACTCCGTAGCCTTGAAGAGCATAATCTGAATGCAAATGTGAATTCTGGTTGCTTTTTTTTTTTTGGTCTTACCTGAAGTTAAGTAGGTTCTTACATTACCTTTATTGCTAGGGTAGCACCTGTCACTGAATCTCTTTCAGCTGGTTCTCAGAAGTGTGCATGCTGTAGAATATACTCTTTGTTGGACTCTATTGCTGGGAGAGAAAGCAAGGTCCAGGAGTGGAAAAAAGGTTTAAAGTGAAAGATTTGCAATAAAATTTCATGCAACCTTTTTCTTTGAGAAGGTTTAGCAGTACTCCTTATGAGCAGCATCTCATTGTCCTGGCTGGAGGATTTTCAGTACTGATCAGTGCATTGATTTGTGTGGAGATATGCTCTTATTTTGCATTTCTTCTGTGAATGTGCCATTATGTTTTACCACCACTTTTTTCATAGTTCTTTTCAGAGGTTTGCTACAACATTCAGGACAAGCATTTTCACACTAAACAAGACTCTTAAACACTCTTAAGTGAAAACAGATGATTGAGACTCAGCATTTATCTACTTGATACTTTATTTTAAACAACCACATTTAGTATGATTATTTAGGCATTTTAATTTTCTTGTGTGAAAATGAGTGTGGGAGAGATTTCAGTTATTGTGGTTAATTGTTAGTTAACTACTTGAATGTAGCATTACAGGAAGTGGCTTATCCTTTTATCATGGGACTTTATTTTGAAGCTGAATTTTGTTTCTGTTTTCTCCCCTTGGAAACTTTTTTTTTTTTCAAGTCAGAGGAAAACACACAGGTGAAGCTGAATTTTGTTTCTGTTTTCTCCCCCTGGAAACTTTTTTTTTTTTTTTTTAAAGTCATAGGAAAACACACAGTTTTTTTTGTGGTACAATAAAAGAATTCCCATAGAGACAGACATGCTGATTGTTCTTTATTAAAAAAAAAACCCAACAATTTAGTCGGCCAGAGGCCTGCCTCTGGAAACTTGGTAGCTTCAGAAGGAAAAGAAAAATGCAATGTAATCCAGCATAAAGCATTTGTTCACCACAACGTGGTAGATAAATTTCAGTTTATAGTATATCTGTGCTGACAGAGAAAAGTCTGCATGTTATGTGGTGTAAGATACACTGAAGGAATTCTCTACACCATTTTTTACTTTTCCACCCTGTGTGATACTTCTTCTCTTTGCTTGTTCCTGTCAGTTTATTTGGCATTCCAGATTGCCCCTACCCTTTCTTGCCTTGTGATGAACTTGTCTCAGATTTTCTAATTCAACTGCATCTTTCCGTCCATACTGCAGAGCTAAATTTTTCTGTGAGCCTTTCCTCCTTTCATATTTTTTCTCCTATATCCCAATTTATTGCCTTTATGTCAGTTACTGCTGAGTTATAGCCTGTTTCATGTTTTAATGTACGTGTCTGTGACTCTATTAATTCATGGATAGAGGCTTATGTGATGGGGAAGATCATGTGCTCTGAGCCCAAATGCAGAATGAGTTGCTACAAGCTTGTGGAGTCTATGCAATGGCCCCAGACAGGACAGCCCTGACTGACTCTCTTCCTTTTAATTTATCTCTGTATTGCATCCTCACAGGTAGAAGAGCACAAAGGTAGTTTTCTGTTTCCCCGCACTGCTTTGAGCTTCTGGTAGAAGGGGAAGCCTATTCTGCCTTTTGTTCAGAGGCCATGGAACTACTGTGCCTCCTTCCAGAGCTGCAGCTAACTTGAAGCAAGCAGAATACAGTTCATGTTTATAAAAATCTGGGCTAAGGAGAGACACTTCTTTTTTCCTGGAAATACTTCAGGATGTATTATATTGTAGAGCTTCAGAATACATGTAAGTGAAATCAGTTGCTAACAGCTTTACTCCCAGGTCTCTGGTTTGGTCATAGATGCTACAATGCATGAAGACAGGAGCAATAGAGTTTCCTCCCCTCATCCCTGCACTCATTATTCCTGAGAGTAAAGGCAAAGCATACACGTATACACTTCAAGCACCACTTGCAGTGTATGCTTCTTCTCTTTTACGATATGATAATATTAACCAGGGCTTGATGCGCTTGGTGAGACAAACTGAATACTAGTTGCTAAAAGTGAGGCCTCGGCCTACTCTAAGATTTCTTCCCACGTTGAAAACGACTGAAAAAAAGGAGTCTCATGTCTGTTGGGCACCAGGGGCCACAGTTAAAAATTACAGCTTGTGGGTGACTTCCTGAGAGAGCACCTGGGTCACTGTGGAGCTGGAGCTTGGTTTGACAGTGATGATCAGGAGTTAGTATTTCACCCTGAAGAAAGCTAGAAAGCTCACCAAGTCATTAAGATGAGTTTTCTGCTCCAGAAAGGTTGGGTTTGAATTGTTGCTCCGTATCAGGTGACTTAGATATGTAAATTCTTTTTCTGGTTCGGTTTTGCCCCCAGACACTCATTTGATCTTGACCTTTTTTTTTTTTTTTTTTTAAATTTTTTTTTTGAGCACAGCAGTGACTGTAGTAGAAGGGGAATTTTGAACACTCTGTCATTAGATTTCTACCTCGCTCCCTGCAAGCCCCAAGCAGTTTTCCTGCTGGGCTTTATTTCTGTTGGCAGTTACTAAAATCCATGTTCTCTCTTTTCTGTATCTCACCAGCAATATGTATCAGGGGAGTCCTTCCATTTCCTACATTGTCCGTGGTCACACACCCCAGTGCTGCCTCGTCTCTCCTCCAATCTCAAATGCTGATTATGATCTCTTGCACTTTCTTCCTCAGTTTATATACTACGAATATACAAATTCCCTGAAAGATGGGAAGGGCCACATTCAAGTCCTTAAGAAGATATTTCTTCTCTCCTTGAGCACACTGTTTCTTATACCCGTAGTTTGTGTGTTTTCTGTTTTTCAAATATGCATAACTAACTATTTCTTCTGTGCTATGGAAGTGATGACTTGCAAAATAATTTGGATTTGGAAAGAAATTCGAGCTCCTGCTCTTCTCCCTCTCGGTCCTAGGGAAGTGCACTCAGATTGTATCAACTAGGTGTGTATTTTCTGGGTAACGTGTGGGACAAGCACATCGTTTCAAATGGAGCATGGGAGAAGTGGCAGGACAAATGGATCTTTATAGAAGAAGTTACAGACACAGGTAAAGGAGGTTATAAATTCTCCCACTTCTGACATGGCAAATAAGCAGGGTATTTAGGAGTTAGAAAAAATAAGATTAATCTGTCCCTTTAAAACAGAAAAAAAAATTGGCAGTTAACTCCCCTACATGCTGTCTACAGGAACAAATAGTGAAAAAGCTTAAGAGCTGTCTTGACAGGGACACTCGCAGTGGGAAAGAACTTGTGTGCCATATGTCCCCCTACCATCTGTGTAGGCTCTCTTCTGGGTCATGACATCTGGTTCTGCTTGATATCTGGCTCCGATTCCTGTATTTTTAGAGTAAACGGGGCTTGATTCTCCTCAGAGACTGAAGAGAATAGACCACATGCTGACTTCTGCAAGAAAAACCAAGTTTTTCATAAAAAATATGTCTTCTCATGGTTGGTTGGTACATGTATGTATCCAAGTTTTTCATAAAAAATATGTCTTCTCAGCCTAGATCTGAATGGCTTGGTACATGTATGTATTTAAATGAGCCAAGGATGTGCCAGCACCGTCTGCTGACATTTTTTTTAAAAGCTGCTAACTTTGGCGTGTTTGACCTTTTTTTGGAGGGTTGGGCCACGTGGTTAGTTGGGTACCTAAATGAGGAGGTGAACTGGTGTCTTACTGGGGAAAGCATCGCGTTGCAAGAGAGCAGACAACTGAAGGTGGGAAAAGACCAGGGGTCCCAGGGTGAGGGTTGGTGAGGGAGTAGCAACATCTGCCATAGGAAGGGGATGTGGGGGGCTCCCCAAACTCCACAGCAGGGAGCCGTGCTGGCCTTGCCCTGTGCAATGCCTCCACCTAGTGACGCCCGAGGCTGAGGCTCTCCCCTTTTTTTTAAAAAAAAAAGATGAAAAGCCACTGTTTATACACAAAATCATAACGAAGTGCTGATGCTAATAATGCTAAGCCACAACGCTAAAAAAAAAACCGACCACCAAGTGGGAGATGAAAAAATAAGATATTATAATGATTGCTGTTCTGAATTATACTGTAGTTATTATTTGTAGTGCTTTCCCCATCCTTTGTAGGAACTAGGAGGGAATTTAGTGGAGAATTAGATTTTTGGCCTTTGAGTCTGTACATCTGTTAATTTAGTGCCTCAGAACTAATTTGGGAATGGGGACGAGTTGTCTTCTCTAGAGCTGTGTTTCTTTATCATCCTTGAGCATATGTCA